TGCTCCTAGGTATAGGGAACATTTTTCCTATGGAAAATGACATTTAACTGTGGAGTATTATTTTTTAACATGCTAGCACACATCCATTGCCCTGGATTGTAGGAGTTGTGGTAGGAAGTGCTTGCCCCCCTGTGTAGCGCTGATTTCTCATGCACATTGCATGGCAGTTCCGGGGTAACCTGCCCCCAGTTCACAGGTCATGTGTCCTTGGAGATAGTCAGTAGGACTGATTCATGTTTAGCAAAGGCCAGCAACTGTCCCTAAAATGACAGGGGGAGCCCTGGGGTGCCTTGCACTGACACAGGGTGTCACATTAGGGTATCTCCGTGCTGGTAGCAGCTATTGCTCCCTGCCCCTGTGTGGACACCAGGTTTCACACTGCAGTTTCCACTGCCCGTGGAATCTTAAAGCCAAATTAGCCTGATGCATCTGAGTCTTTTGACAATGAATTATATAAACTTGGTGTCTACATCACCAAAAAGTTTTTCCTCAGAGTTTCTTTTGGCACTGTTTCCCAAGCTCTCTGAGCAGCTGTGGAACCCAGCCCCGGTGTCAGTGGAGCAGTAAGTTGTGTGCTGGTACCAAGCATGTCACAGCGTGACCAGCCCACACAAACCTGCTGTGTGCTGAAGTGACAGCAAACTGCTGGGGCTGCAAGAGGCCTGGATGCAGGTAGAAACCCCCTTGGATAATATCACCTGATACGTCCTACCAGCACAGTTACTTTCATTTTTTTCCAGTTTTAGGAATTCAGGCTACCCGCAGGCTTTGTTCTCTCTAACCTTCCTGAACTAGTAAGTGCTGAGCTCTTTTACATTCAAGAATCCAAGGTAGATATTCTAAAGCCTGATAGATAATGCATGTTACCTGTGCTGGCCCAACTTTATTGGATTTGTGCTTCACTGTCAAATCTCTGAGTTGCAGAGGAAGGTCCTGCTCCTGAGTGTGTAATACCTTCAGTGTCATTTTATTACCTGTTCTTACCTCATGACTCTTCTTGTTTCCATCTTTTGAATTGCCTTTTGTCAAGTTTGTCTTATTCAAGCCTTCACAGTCTTTCTTTTGCTGACTTGTTGAGGCCAAGGGCTGAATAGTCTCAAGTTTTCATGAGCTGAAGGGAGTGGGGGAAGTGAGCATGTTGCATCTGTCCCAGGTCAGGTTTGGTTTGTTAATTCCTTCCCAAAGGTCACAGTTTTGCCAAGAGTGAATCAGTGAAAACCAGGCTTTTCTGATGTGCTGTTTGACAGCACCATGCAGACAACAGAGTTCTTTGGGAGGTTGATCTGCACCTCTGACCTCCCTGCACTGGTTGGATTGTAATTTCCGTCATGGATTAGTGTCATGTTCATCTGTCTCAGAGTCCTCTCCTCTCAGCGCAGCCCACTGTCAGATATTGGGTCTGAGTGCATCATGGGTTTTTAGTACACTTTCTCTCTCAAGAAGTTAAGAAACCAAGGCTTAAGAAAATTTAAAAAAAAAAAAAAAAAAAAAAAGTTTGTGCATCTGTGTGTCTGGTTTATGTACAGGTCCGGGAAAAGTATTTGTGCAACTTTCCTAAGAAAGATTGCAATGGAAAGGGGAAGACTGAATAACAAGAACCCACATGCTGAAGTAATTAAACTCAAGAATTGCAAAAAGATTACTGTTTCTTGTACGTTCTTTGTGTGTGTTCCTGTCTGTGCCAATATTTCTCAAACCTGTTCACTGATTTTTCCAGAATTGAGAGCTTTCATGCTCCTGGGGTGTGGTCTCATGATGCAGCTGCTGCTGGTTCAGGAATAACTAGGGTGATGAGTAGAGCCTAGTGTCTGTCTCCAGAGCCTGGGAGAACAGCACCTGGGACTGCTTTTTCAAAAGGGTTCATGTGAAAGCTCAAAATACTATGTGTGGTGAAAAACACACAGATGTAGTGCACATGTTCTCTATGGACTCAGTAGGAAAGGCCCTCAGCTCCATCAGGTATGGATTAAAATATCGAGATAACAGAAGGAAATGGAACAGCCCACATCATCAGACAGATCCCAGATCTGGCACCCCTGTGCAGACTGCCCAGGGTAACTGGCACCACAGGCATTACAGTTTTTGTGGGATTTTCCTAGAAGTAAGGTTTATTCATCATTTCCACTGCCAAGAAAAAGGATCTTAATACAGAACTTGCTGCTCTTCAGGATAAAGGCAAGGACACAGCAGTGGAGTTGGCACATGGAGCTATGGACAGACTCCACTGCTATGACAAGCTGGCTGAATCTGCAGCCCAGTGCACCTCCAGCACAGTGCCCAGCCTGTGCCCGAGGGCCAGTGGCCAGGCACTGGGTCACCACCCCTATGTGCCAGCCTGGGTGGGGGCACTGCCCCCCTGCAGCCTGGGGCGGCACCACAGACAACCACAGGGGCCTCACTGCAGCAGCAGCTTCCTTCCTTCCTTCCTTCTCCAGCATCAGTGCACGTGGCTGCTGCCTGGCTCCTCAGCTTTACCACTCTGTGTCCAGTGAGGAAAGATTGCTCTCATGTGCTGGGAATCCACTGAACACTCCCAGGCATGGCAAGTGCAGACAGAAAGTGCCAAGTGCCCCTGGCATGCTCCTTTCAGATCTCCTTTTGCCCTGTTCCAACCCTGCCCTCCCCACACTGACCATGGGAGCCTTGCCATCAGTTCCTATCTCCTGTGTGCTTGCTAGCAGAGCTTTCCAGAATACAAGAAAAACTAATTTTGCTCTGTCTTTCCTGGGATGTGTGATACCACCTCATCCAACCATGCTCAGGACGTTTTGCTGTCTCCTAAAACAAGATTCTTGTTTTGGAAAGCAGCATCATGGTATCACAGACGCCCAAAGCAGGAGCAAGGGCTTGCTGCCACAGTCACCTTAGGTACAGGTGCTGCACTGTATAAAGGACAAGACCTTTCCTGCCACTATTCCCCCAACCATCAGGGTAAATGTAAATATGTGAATAATACCTACACATCTTTTTTAGTCACACAGAGTTTCAGCTTCCTAGTTGGTCCAGATCCCACTAGTGATACATTCCTGTTGTGTTTTCACAGCAATCAAGCCCCACGCAGCCACTTGCCCACTCTCCTACCAGTGGGATTGTGGAGAAAATTGGAAAGGTAAAAGCTGGAAAACTCTTGGGTTGAGATAAAGACAGATTAATAGTGAAAGGAAAAGCTGGCACACAAGCAAAGAAAAAGAAAGGATTCATTCACTGCTTCCCAGGGGCAGACAGGTCTTCAGCCACCTCCAGGAGAGCAGAGTCACATATAATGGTGATTTGGGAAGACAAACACCATCACCCCATATGTCCCCCCTCTTTCTTCCCCCCAGCTTTGTGTGCTGAGCATGATGCCATGCAGTGTGGTCAGTTGGGGTCACCTGTCCTGTGTCCCCTCTCCATCTCCCATGTGCCCCCAGCCCCCTCACCAGCATGTGACAGCAAAAGGCAGAAAAGGCCTTGGCTCTATGTAAACACTGATCAGCAATAACAAAAACATCTCTATATTATCAGCCTTGTGTTCAGCACAAATGCAAAACATAACCCCATATTAGCCATTGTGGAGACAATAAATTCTACCCCAGCCAAACCATTGTCTTTGACTTGGTTCAAGACAACTTCTTGAGGCTTCTACCCTCCTCCAGCAAGCTCTGTTCCCTGAAAAGGAGTTCCAATGATTTCACCTTATTGTGGTTTTTTCCTTCCTTGAGCCAAAAAGTACATGAACCTGCAACCCATAGCAGCTTTTCCAGCTTCTCCCTATCCCAGTGGCTGCAGGCTGGAGTGGCATCTCATGGGAAATTTCTGATGAAGGAAGACAGAGCCACAAAGGTGGATCCCAATGTACTACTGCAGGCCCAAACCATGTCTCACTACCACTACAGGAGGGCTTTTTCCAGACGAGGGACTGGGATTTGGTTGGCTGCATTGAATTAGTCTGACTACTTGTATTTGAGGATGGGATGTTGAATTTGGGTGTAACAACAGCAAAGGCTCACTTCAGTTGAATACAATGAAGCAGAAGAGATTATTTTACAGAAGCAGAAGAAAAATTGAGAGCTGTAGAAATCAGCAAAGGCAGTAAAATCCCTTGAGAGGGATATTTCAGTAGAAAACAGGTACTTCTCTTAGAGCTAGTGCTCAATTACTGAATTACAGAGATCAACTATAACATTTAATGAATAGTAATATATCATTACAGTTAAGAAACCGTGATTTCACGGTCTTAAAGATTTTCTACTTTGACAACTTCCTCTTTTTCTCTCTGGGCATCTTCATGTTCACCTGTTTCCCAAGTAGTCTGCAGGCATTGGAGGGAAGTATGGCCCCTGTCACGGCTTATAACTGAAAACAATTAATCACTTAAAACAAGCAGCTAAATTGCTCTGTGAGAAGGGAGCATCCATCTGTGAGGTGCAGTGGGATTGGTGGCCCAGATGTCTGCAGCTCTTGGGGAAATTTTTTGCTTTAGATTTCTATTCCTGAATTCTTCCTCTCTTAAATGTGGTAGAGTGATATAGAATATTTCAGTTGGAAGAGGCTACAGCAATTATCAGTCTTGCATTGGTAATGTAAAGATTTAAGGGGTTTCATGAACCTTAACTTAAAGCATAGTGGTGATTGTCACAGAAGATGGTGAGAAAGTGAATTGTGAGGACCTAGATGGTTCAGCTCCTTATGACCTCTCTCTCAGACCTGTGCGTGTGTAATTGTGTGTTAAAGCTTATTTGTCAGCAAGCAACACAAGGAAAAGAGGAAGAAATGGTTGCCTAGGAATCAGAAAAAATAAAGGAAAAAAATTAAAAACAGAAGGGGGGAAAAACATACTCAGCAGAAAATATGAAATAGTGTGGAAGTAATTTTTAAGCTTTCCTCTCTGCACCCTTTCCTTAGGGTTTCCGCTGTGCCCACGCCTCTGACAGTGGTCACTGAGACACTTGTTTTCTGATAAAGAGGAAGGAAAAACCACCAGCAGTTATCCTGGATGCTCAGTGACAGGGTGAGCCCAGGCAGGGAGGTGTTCCTGATTTGCAGCAGCTTGGGGAACGCGGGTCGGTGAGGCTGGAGAGGGAGCAGCCGTGCCCCAGGAAGGATGGGAATGGTGCTGCGAGTGGCCGTGCTCCTGAGCTCCCTTCTCCGCTGCAGCGGTGAGTCTGGGCTGGCCACGGGCCCCTGCCCTGCGGTGTCTGCGTGTTTGGCAGGGGAGGCTCTGTTTTGGGAAGAGCTTAGATTCAGTCCTTAGAGTGAGAGAAATGTACTGGGACAAAGGCAGTGGTCGTAATGTTTACAGGAAAAAGAGTTTTAGGTTTCTTCACCCAGCGGTTTAAGTTTCTCATGTTTGGCTTAGGCTGCGAGAGCGGTGTGTTTCAGCAAAACAAATAGACAGTGGAGGAGGGAAGTCTTTGCTGTTCGTCAAAAGCCCCAAGGGTGATGTCTGGAACAGACACTGGCTGAGACCAGGGAACCTTCAACTTGGACTTTAGACCAACTCCTTCCCTCAGACCTAAGTTATTGGATAACTCTGCCCCTGTGCTCTACTCAGTGCTGGTGGTGGCAGGAAAGCACCAGGCAGAGCAGGGGAGGCAGGCTGCACGCTTGGCAGGAGTTGGTGGCCCTGGTGCCCCTGGCCATCAGCCACCTCCCACCTGTCTGCCTCATGCCACACTGATTTTTGGTTAACCCACCCCTGAGCAGCCCAGCCCTCACGGTCTCCACTGACTGCTTGTGTTTCTCATCTGGTGGGTTCTCTTTGCCAACATCCTTGCCATGGCTTCACCACCTGGGAGCTGCCTTCACCCTGGCTGCTTTGTGGCTTAGTTGCCATCCTTCTTTCTTCCTGCAGCTTTTCTGGACCTGAGTGGCCCCAGTGAGATCAAAGGTGTCTGGAAGGACTCTACCACTCTGCCTTGTACCTATGTGCCTCTGGAGGACCTTGTGCAGCAAACCCTCACCTGGACTGTGGTACATGAAAAAGGTTCAGGCACCATCTTTCGGAGGGACATCTCCGGTGACCATGTGTTCCTGTCTGAGTACAGGAATAGAGTCAGCATCCCAAAGGATGACCCAGGAAATGTGTCTCTCCTCATCCTGAACCTGGAGATCTCTGACAGAGGAACCTACACTTGCCAGGTCACCTGGAGAGACAGCAACAACAGCCTGATAGCAAAGGAGATCACCACCAAATTGGAGGTTGTTAAAGGTAAATCCGGGAAGGAGGCTGTTCAGGAGGAAAAGGCTGGGCTCAGGAAGGCTTTTGGAAATTAGAGCGGGTAGGCAGTGACTGCGTGTTTCAATGCAGAAGCATTTTGCTGATCATTGTCAGCCTCAAACAAGAAGCAGCAAATACATCAGAGCGAAGTTCTGCCCAGGACACAGCACCCTGCAGCTGGGGGCGGACCTGTGGCTCCTCAAGCATCAGCTCATCGCTGGCTCTATTGCAGCCAATGGCTCAATGTTTCCCAGGGGCGTGCGGCAGTGGAGAAGTCCCAGGCACAGTGTATGGCTGTTCTTTGGCTGAAATTCAGCAGCCTGTGCTTGCCCTCCCTCTGCCCAGTGTAGGGGGTTTACAGAGGCACAGAGAGCAGGACACCAAGTGCGGCACAGCTGAGCTCATCCCGCACAGGGAGGTGATGTGAGAGCCGAGCTGTTTCCTCCTGGGAAGGCGGCGACAGCGAGAACTGCTGTGCCAGGGGCACCGTCCCCACCACAGCCAGGGCTCCGTGACCCGGGCCCCTCTGCTTTGTCTTCCAGTGGCAGCCACCAAGCCCATCATCAGAGCTGGACAGCTGGGGCTGACGCTCCCGGCCGGAGGCAGCACCAGCCTCACCTGCGAGGCCAGCGGCTCCCCTCCCATCAGCTACCGCTGGTTCCGGGCCACCCCGGCGGGCAAAGCCGTGTTCCTGAGCAGCGGGGCCGAGCTGGCCTGGCCCAGCCTGCGGCCCTCGGACAGCGGGACGTATTTCTGCGAGGCAGAGAACAGGGCCGGCGCCGGGGCCGTGCAGCGCAGCGATGCCGTGCAGCTGACGGTGACAGGTGAGTGCCCACAGCCACAGCTGGCGGGGAACACCCGGCTGCAGTGCGGAGGAACAGCATCCTACTTCCCTGCCCGGAAAGAAGGAAATGCCCAACGCACTCTGACACATCCCTCCCCGCTGGCTCCGCTCTGTGCCCTTCTTTATTGCCTCTATTCCGTTTCCTCCTCGTTGAGGAACTGCTCTTCGCTGATGCAAAAGACGATTTCGACTTCAAACATTTATTTATTCCTCTGTGGGTTTTTTCAAGCTCTCCCTGGTTCTGTAATGCTGCCCACTGCAGTTCAGCAAGTTCCGACAGGGAGTCGGGGCTTTATTTTGAGAACAAGGAACAAGTCAGTGGTAATTCAGTGGCAGAACAAACCAAGCTGGCCTTTGCTCCCCACCACAGCCGCGTGTCTCAGGGACACACACTGCACTTCACACACACCGGGCTCTGACTCCTCCAGCCTCTGCACGACGGTGCGGGACAGCTTGGACTCAGCGGCCTCAGGGGCCTTTCCAATCTCAGCCATTCCCTCTTGGCTGCCTGCTGGAAAACTTGCAGCTCTCCTTGCCTGGTTACTCCATCAGCAGAGCCGTGAAGCCCCTGCTGGCACAGCCAAGCACAGGTAGCACAGCGTGGCCTCTGAAAGAGGCAGAGCCTGCTGAGCTCCCTCCCAGGCACGAAGCTTTGGCTGAAGCCCTGTGCTGCTTTTCCCAGCAGTCACACATTGGAGGGAGCAGCACGGGAACGGGGCTCAGAGCTGCAGGTGCTGGCTGTCGCTGCTGCCACAGCATCCCCCTCCTGTCAGCTGGGAGGGGGCTGCTTCCTCCTGCTCCTATCCCACCTCTGGGGAATTCTGTATCACAGCAGCATCACCAACGTGGTCAAACCCCTGTGTAAGCCTCTCCCTCCCCCTCACCTTGCAGATCTGCCCACAACAACAGTGGCCTTGTGGAGGAACGTGGGAACCACGGGCGGACACCACCCAGCCGCAGGTCAGGGTGGGAGCAGTGACAGCTCATAGCGAGGATGGGGTGTTGGGGCAATGTGACACCAGTGCTTGCCAGTGGTTTTATTGTGGGGAACAGAATCTTGACAGTATTGAACTTCAGTCCATATGCCTCAGTTTTTAACTCAGATGTTTCTGAAAGTAGATCTTCCTTCCCTCAGTTTCCAGCCCACAGGGGGTAATAGGTTTGCTTTGTAGGAGAGACTGCACTGAAAATGCCATTTCCTAATTTGTGGCTCATATGGGAGGAGATGTTCTGGGTTTCGTTCTCGACTAAAGGGTTTTTTTGTTATCTGATCCTGAAGGGAAGCTGCTGAGGGGAGGCAGATCTGGTGTCTCCAGTGGCAGACACAAGCGATGCAAAAGCTTCCTCAGACCTACATGTACTTGACCAGGGACAGCAGTTTTGAGGGAGGGCTTGTGATTTCCCGTTTGTTTTTGTGGGAATTTAGGCCTGGACTGGAGCAAGTCTGGTTGTGGAAACTTTCTGTTGTTGGATTATGTCTCATTTGGATTTATGGTGCCCCAGCAATCACGTGGGGATTGTGGAAGCTGGTGTCGGTCACCAGAAGCTGAGGGAAGATGCTGACAGGCCTTGATTGTTCTTGCAGAAAAAACTCAAACAGAGCTGGTGTCTGGAGGTACCTCAGGAATCTCCTGGACTCTCTGGGGCCCCACCACTACTGCAGGTGTGTGTGTACAGGTCTACAAATACACACAGGTATCTGGTGGGTGTATCTGTAGTTTGTGTACACTTATATAGCATAAATATACTACATATAGTATCCATCCAATGACTACATGGTACTACCTGTATGCTCTCTATAGTACAGTCTATACATAGTGCTCATTTCTGTACTTTGCCTGCTTCCACTGCCTTGTAAAGGGGATGGAGGCATTCTCTTTGGATCCTACAGCTCTAATCCAAGGTCTCCTGGTGCTAAGATGTGGGCTGGAAATGCACTGTCAGACTTAAATTCATGTTTGTTTTCCAGACTTGCCCATAGCAGCAACGACTTCTGAGAGTGGTGTGGGATATCCAGGGAAGAATGAAACAATTCCTGGTAAGCAAGAGTAAAACCAAGCTGAGAAGATTAAGGACTCAAACCCGATGCTCTGTAGTCAGGAACTTCAGCCTCAAAATTAGTATTCTGCTTTTTTAGCTGCAAATTGCATCAACTGCTGTTCTCAAAGGACCCAGATAATTCATGGTGACTCTTTAAAAGACTCTGGATGTTTTTATGGAAGAATGAAAACAAAAAAGAAAATGTTGATATATGGGGCACACAGTTACCATGTTCCTCAGCAGCTGGTCCATTTTTATCTTGGCAAACCTAAACCACTACAACTGTCAAAGCTGAAACAGCAGAAAAGCTTCAGTGTGTGCCTTGAGCAGATCTGCACATCCTCCAGCTTTGCAGCATTGTGACAGGTTTTTTTTGGAAAGGTTCCCTTTCCAAACAGAACTGAGCAGCACCCTTGAACAGAAAGCTTTATTTCATGATATGCAGTGCAATTATCCTGCCCAGCTCACATCCCTAATCACCTCATCACGAGATGGACATTGTCTGTACAACTGTGGCCTGTTGGTGAGCTGTACACAGTGCTGGGTCACGCAAAACTCACTCAGGGCCACAGGACCAAGGGTCTGTGGGGACACAGCCCCATGTGCTCAGGCAGGGCTGGCTGCTGCTGTCCTCAGGGATATGGTAAATGTCAGGTACCTGCTGCTGCTGTCACCCAGGAGGGCTCTCCTGTCTGAAAGTCCTCTGTTGTGTTGCTTTAGATTTCCAGAGGACTGGCTTGTCCCTCTACCTGGTCATCCTGATTGCTGTGGTGTCTGGTGCTGTGGTTTTCCTTGTCATCTCTCTGATCATTTGCATTAGGAAGCCCAAAGGCGGTGAGTAGAATGTTCTGGTAAACCGGAATGTTTTATGCATGCCCAGCACAGCTTTATCTTTGATGGGTTTGGGGCCTGGAGCAGTGCTTGCAGCCAGCAGCTGCAGCTCTGGCACCTGCAGGCAGTAGATGACATGCCTGGATTGACACTTGGTCAGTCCCACATTGGTGGGAGATCCAAAGAGGCAGAGATGTCCTTGCAGTCAGGAGAGTCTTCCAGCCGTGGGGTTGGGGCAGCAGTGGCCCTGTGCTCCTGAGCTGCATCCTCCCATGCCTGCACTGGCTCTGGGGCAGCTCAGTCCCTGCCCTGCAGCCCAGGTGTGTGATTGGCACTGCCACAGAGTCTTGGGATGGTTGTTTCTCACTGCTCCTCACCGACATCCCAAGGCTCACACTCGCCTGCTTGGCCGGGCTCATCATTCCAAATCTTTAAAGTCTCTGGCAGAGGGTTCATCCTGCCCTGCTGCTGGGAAGTGCCTTGGCACCAGTTGCTGCTCAGTAGTTCCCACAGTTGGCAACCAAAGGGAAGAGGTCATTGTCAATTCTCCCAGTTCCACATGAATTTGTTTCCTCTCTGGTCTTTAGTCACAGGATCCATTCACTGAATGCCTCTCTCTCCTGCACTGCCACCAGAAATCCCCTTGACCAAGTGTTCCTTGGAGCCCCCTCCTCACCAGCTGTTCTCGAGAGCACACAGGTGTGCTTTGGGGTTTGAGATACCACAGAATTCATTTTCTCCTTTGTTTCTCCAATGAACTTCCTATGATTCTATGCTACCGGTTAATAATATAATTGTCAGGTATTTCTTTTGCCACTTTTCTTACTTTTTTTCTTTTATTTAAAAAAGGAATCCAGAATAGCCACTTTCAAAATTATTCTTTATTGAACTTCTAATGAATAGGGAAACTGTGGACTTCTGGTTTCTAACCTCAACTTTATCTTTGACATTGGAACAGTTATTTTGACCCAGTTGTGTGATAGCTGGGTTGTTTTTGTTTTCTTCAACTGAATCCTGGGAAACTGAGTCACCACCCACCTGACATGATATCCAAGACTGTGTTTTTTTTAGTTCTGTCTTCAGAAGTCATTTTCTTAAACCAAGAAGATAAACAAAGAAACTCCTTTTTTAAAGAATGTAAATGCAAATTATTGACACAAATTCTGATTTTTCTTTTCCAGCTCAAGCCTATGACGTAAAATTGTGAGTATAACCCTTCGTTTGGCACGCTGATGTGTCCTGGGGGACTGTATCAGAGGAGAAATAAAAAGCACTGCCATTAGCTGTCATAATGAAAACCCCCTTAAGCAGTCCAGGTCAAGAGGTTCACAGCTCTACAGCAAGTTGTAGGATGGCTCATGGCTTTCCACAGCAACACAGAATGTGTGAAGAAAGATCTTTCTCGTGGCAATATCAGAATTGTAGAAGGGAGCAAGAGCTTCTTATTGACTCCTAAGCCCAGGGAGGGCTACTGAAGATGACTGCCAAGGCTAAATTCCCAGTGTTTTCTCAAATGCAAAGGAAAGGAACTCCCATTCTAGAGACCACTGGTTATACTCTGATTTATCCTCAAAACATCCCTGGCTGAATTTGCTTCTTCTAACCATAGCTGTGGCAGGCTCTTTCTAAACTCAGGTTTCACATCCTGATCTACTTGTAACCTGTGGAAGTTTACTGAAAAGCCTGATAATCTGGTCAAAACATACAAGGAGAACACTTCTCTAGGTATAAAGTATCTGACTTGAGTATCACAGTGGGATGTGCCAGCATCCCAGTGCTGGGCTTCCCCAGCAGTGTGCAAGGCAGCACTTCAAGCAATAGTTGAACCCTGAGCAATGGAACAAATGCTGTGATGACATTTCTCCTTAGAGGATCTATCTTCATTTTAAAAATATTAGATACCATAAGCCAGACAGTGGATGTAGGCTGCTTTCAGTTCTCTATTTGCCTTTCCTCCAGCATTTTTTATAAATATTTATTTTTATAAATATTCCTTTCTCTTCAGCAATTATCTGATTGTGCCAGTGCAGGAAACAGGGGTAATCCTTTCATTGCTTGCACACCCTTTGCTGCCTCTCCCTGGAAACTTTCTCAGAATTGGAAGCAGTGCTGCTACAATGCCCAAGGTTTTTCTGCCACCAGAAAGCAAAGGACAAAATTCTCTCCTTCAGTATATTGCCACAGTTCAGTGGCCCAGGTTTATATGGGTTTGAGTCAGACCACGATACTGGTCAAAATCCTGATGGTTGGGAGAGGCTTGGTTTACCCTGGTTGCTACTCTTCTTGCTTTTTGATTTCAGCCATAACTCGAGAGCAGCAGCTTCTTCAAGCACAGGTCACTATGAGGAACCCATCTCTTTCACTGAAAACAACTACGTGATGGAGTTCAGGGAAAACAAAATCTCTGAAGAAGTAAATAAGAACGAGTCTGACTGTGTTGCAAACCCCCAGGAATCGGAGTATGAAGTAGGGGACACTTCCTGAGAACCAACAATGTTCTGCAGATACCAGTCCTGAGGAGCACCTTCACCCAGACAAAATACGTATTTTTTTTTCACTTTTGCTCCTGACAAATAGGTAGGACAAGCAGTGGCTGCTCTCTCTTCAGAGAAAGTGCAAATGCATACCTCTTCAGGAACCTGAGTTACAGACTGCTGTGTAGAACTCCTGGTTCTGTTCTCCTTGGCTCCCTCTCACCACCTCTATCCAAGAAAGCACTTTGAATGCTGCAGCATGCAGGTCCCAGGTTAGGAGCACTGTACTGAACTTACTGCTTTCTATGGCCAAAAGGACCAGTGTTTCCAGCCTTTGTGTGGTAGGGGGAGAGCCAGCACTGAGGGCTGCTCAGCATCCCCACCTGTGTGGGTGAGCAGGGCAGGATGCAGCTGGCTTGAGAATCAATGCTTCTTCTCCTGCCCACCTGAAGCTGGACAGATTTAACAGAAGAGAGATCTTGTAGGAACAAGAAACTCAGGATCCTGGCACACTAGGAGAAGCAGTGCAGGAAGCAGGAATGGCCTGTGCAGTCCTTGTGCTGCCCTTGATCCCCCTCCACAGCACTGCAGCGAGGTCACTGGCCACAGCTCTGGGTGCTTCTGATACTGCAACCAGGCACATTCTTTCTCAGCTCACCTTCTCTGTTCTCTCTCTAAAATGCATGATGGATGTCATGAATAGAATCTCTCAAGAAATCCACCCCAGTTAAAATACTGTAAGTGTTTGGTTGTGTACAGTTAATGTTCTTGTCCCATTTGTAAACCTTGTTTGTTGTACCCCTTGTTTACCCCCATAGTTGTTAGTAATGTTAATTACTTACCGGTTGTTTTAAGAGTTCTCTTATGAGATGTACCTCTACCCCCTTTCCCTTACCTCCCCTGTTCCTGTGTAACAGTGCTGCTCCCAGGGGGCTGTGCACCCTGAGTCATACACAAACTAAGGCACGCCAGACATAAAAACAATGAGCCAGCAAGGAAATAAAAGGTCAAAGAGACATATCCCAGCAAGCTATGATGGAAAACCGTCTTCTTGCATCACCTGAGCCTGCTTAAGAGTGGTCACCATGGTCTAAAGAGGACTGGAAAGGAGTGACTCCCCTGGACAATGAGGCTGGCTGCTCCTGTGAGGATGGAAGCCCCAGCTCTGCAGGGTGTGCTGCAAAGCTGAATTGTGCCTCCTCCTTGGAGCTGCTGGTGTGGGAGCAGTGGCGGTGCGAGCGACCCCTCGGGCCCCCACCCCAAGGCTGAGTCCTAATAAAGGCATAAAACAGGAGTCTGCCTCCTGACCAATTTATTTCAATGGATATTTGAAAGAAGTTAGATACTTTTCTGTAAGTTTGGGGTAGGATTGCTTACACATGCCTCACATATTTTGCTGTGTGCATTTCTGAACAACTGGCTCATTTTGGAATGCCAGCAAGCCACTCACAGCCCCTCACTAGATACTCAAGAAGTACTTTCCTCCCAGCTTAAAAGGTCTGAAGGGTAAATCATGAATAATTTCTACTGCCCTGAGTAAACCTATCATGCAGAGTTATGGAAGAAAGAACCTTTTTATAACAAACAGGGCAACCCTGTGTCCCATTATAAAAACCACACAGACATGTAAAACAGAGGGAAGGACCCAAGCAATGAATTGGTAACACCAACACAGGATAAATAGGCCCCCAGCTGTGCTGCTCACACTCAGGACAGCTCTGCATCTGCAGCTCTCTGAGCATCACTTCAAAACCCACCAGAATGCAAAGGGAGTGTGAGGTGCTAATGGAAGGGTATTCCAGTCAAAGAACAGGATTGTGGTACCGTAAAGCCCATGGAATATTGCTACCTTATGTATTCATGTTGGCCTCATCTTGGGTTTAGAAGAGCAAGAAAAGTTACTAAGAAAGATTGTAAAGGATAATTATTGGAACAAAACCACATCTGTGCAAAGAGTCTCTTAGAAAAAAAGAGAAGAAGAAACAATTGAGCAACATGTGCCTATGGGTGTCAGGGCTGAGAAGACGAAGGGGCTATTTGCTTACAGCTCCTCTGAAATGGATGCAGAAATTAGTGATAATTGTCTGGTAGCACTTTCAAAGGGCAAAGAAAAGTACTTTTTTGTATGCAACACAGAATTAATGATGAAAAGATTCCTCAGAAAGCACAAACTACCAGGCACTCTTTCCAGGCACTTATCAGTGACCTTATACTTTCTCCTGTGCTGTAAGTTTTATTTTGCTTTGTTAAGAATGTACTTAAAATCAAGGGCTGGGACATCTTGATTTCTGAATGAAAAGGGAATACATGGCAGCTGCTGGTGCTGTCATGGAGAAAACTGCCAACATGTGCATGCAGCTTCTTGCAGATGTGGAGAAAATTGGTGTGTATGTGTTTCTGCATGTGTGAAGTCAGAGGAGGTGGGAAGGAAATGTGGCAGGTTCTGGAGCACAGCCCATCCATCTGAACTCAGCCTGACTGCTGTGGCCACTGAAGGGGGAATATGGCTCTGGCCACCTGAAATTCCCTGCTGTTCTCTTCATCTGAGGGGTCATGAGCTCCAGCTGGAGGAGAAGGGAGCACTGAGGGAAGGCAGAGGTGCAGAGATGAAGGGCATCCCACTGAGGGACAGGGTGATCAGTCACACTGTGGTCTGAGCTCTCCTTGCTGAAATCCCATGGGTAATGGTTGCCCCAAAATCACTCAATTCCAGCTGCACTGCAAAGCTACAGGCAATACAGCCCTACCAACGTGGTTAAACAGCAGTGTATCCTGGCTGGACAGCCAGCACCAGGACTGGATGATATTAAATACAGCTGTTGTAAGGCAAGCTCATGAAACTGAAAATCAATCCATGAATTATGGTCTCCGTGTGTTTTGTGTCTGTGTGCACTGTGGGACAGCTGGACAAGGTCCTGGATTGCTCAGGGGTGTACCTGGGCAGAAGGGCAGCTGCTGTGCACCCTGTGCAGTGGCAGGCCAGAGGATGAGCTGAAGTCACAGCAGCTCACCCCAGAGCAGCAGTTTTGTTTACCAAACCCAGAGCTCAGCCAGCCTCTGCAAAGCACTGGGAGGAGGAACTGGGCAGCCTGAAAAAAGCCAGCATCAGATAGTGCTGAGAGTCCAGAGAGCAGCAGCAGCAGCTGGTGTGTGTGCTCACTGCAGGTAAGGGGACATCTGATGGCTGGGGGCGTGCAGCCCACCTGCAGCACCAGGAAAGAAACAGGAACTCAGGAGACGTCACAGATATGGGTCACTTTCTTGGAATCAGGAGCTGTTTGCAAGGATTTGCCCAAGCTAATAGCAGCCCTGAACTAATGTCATTGACCTGGGAAGTCCTGGGAAGGGAAGAGAATTTTTTCAGAAAGAGCACTTGTACATCAAGTACAAGTCATACAAGCTTTAAGGGGAAATGCTAATTTACACTAATTTCTGTTTCTTTAAGTGGAACAAGGTTTGTTCTGATGACTGACAATATGATTATCTGATGTGACAGAACTGTGCTGTGAATGGCTGGGGGAGATCACACAATTAGCTTCTGTGGGACATCCAAAAAGTGCTTAGTAAAATACGTTCTGTTGAGTCAGATCAGTGAGTTAGCTATGGCTGGACCTGATGCCTTGAGAAGGCTGACCTAGAACAGAGACTAGACAGAATTAAGAATAAAGAAGGTATGTATTGAAAGGCCTTAAAGGACACACCTTGGGCAGTACAAGAGCTTGGCCAGGGCTGCACCCAAAAACAGTCACAAAATGGATGACTGGTCACGAGGTCTCACATTTTTATAAGTTTTGGTCCATCTACATATTTGGGTTAATTGTCTAATTACAGCTTCAGATTATGAAGTCTCATCTTTCTTGTTTTCGCTCTTCAGTCCACCCTTGTTTATGCTTTTGGGCCTGAAACTTGTAACGATTGTCCTTGGTGTCAAGCTAGAAAAAGAATTGCTTTGTCTACGTATTCTGTGAAGAGAGTTCACTAACACTTGATATGAAGCTCAAAACTACACACCTAGGCAGCACAGAATCTGAAAATTATGAAAGCTAAAACTTAAGGCATCAGACCAAACAGCACTTTGAGACCTTTCTTCTTCGGTTATCTACTTTTTGGTGATTTGCTCATAGCTGGGTACTGAATTTCATCTCCTTGAACGCTAAAGGGTCTTATTTATCACCAGAAAAATGGTAGCAAACTTCTCTGGCCACTGGCAAACTTTGTCAGAACATGAATGTAAGATGCAGGCTCAGCAGAGCTGGTGCCTATGAACAAAGTCTGAGTGCTGTGCTCTCGTTTGGGGGCATGGGGACTTTACTGAGTAGTCACCTGTAGTTAGCCCAAGATGAGTAGCAGAAATGGCACAAGAAAGAGTGCCTGAGCTGTGGTACTTGAAGAAATGACACTTGAAAGAGTATCCTGTCCTGTGTGTGGGAGCAATGTCCCTGGGGTACATCTGCAGAGTGCCTCACCCACAGCACTGCATGGGAGAGAGCAGCAAGTTCAACCCAGAGCAGAGACACTGGAATAAAATACTGCATTTTAATAAACCAGGTAGCTGGCCAACATATCTGAGACACTGAAGGATTTCTCTTCTTGTGTTCAGACTCAAAACTCTGAGGAGTCCTTTAAGTAAGGAAGGAATGGGCTGACTGTGTGACTCAGGGAGCTATGTCTGTATCCAGTAAGAGAAAGATGTCATGTACATCACATTTGGGGAACTAGAGTTATTCATGTCTGCTTTAGTTAAATAGGCTTTTTTTTTTTTTAAATCCTGTATAATTAGAGCCTCAGGAAGTCTTACATGTCCGGTTAAAAAAATAATCCTATCAGCAGTTTTAGCTTGGGTTTTCAACTTCTTCCAGGGCATGTTCCCCAAAAACCAGCTTCTCTTAAACTGTTTTGTGTAGGAGACTGTTTGTCTGGGACAAGGCTCTACTGCCAATCATGGATCAGGGTCTGGAAAAGTTTGGGTTTCAATAATCTCTATGAAACTTGACACATTTCCCTCTTTCAGTGACACAGCTAGCAACTTTAACAAGTGCTTTTTTATTTGTTTGCTTGCTTTTAGGCAGGACTCAAACATTGCTAAAATATTCTCAAGGGCAGATAGATACAGGCCATGTGCACTGGTACCCCACTGGCAGCTGCAGCAAAGATGTCAGGAAGAAAAATCTTCAAAAATCAAGTTTCAATGTCTTACATAGACATCCTTTGCAAGACTGGGTGCAGCTGCCCCCATCATCTTGCTCAGCAGGATGGCAGCTAATGGTGGCTCTCAGCCTGGAGCCCTGGAAGAATTTGTTACACCAGGTCTTGCAGCACAACATTTAGCTTTTTGCTCCAGACAAGTTCACCACAGCAATCAGCAGGGTGGAACCTGGAATCACAGTCAGCAAGGGCCTCACGGGTGGGCATGCCTCTACCTGAGACTGAAATGAAATCCATGCAGCTCTCATTAGCTTACTGGCTCTGGGAAAATGAAGATAATCTCCAGCTCTCATTGCCCCAGCAGAGAGGGAATAAGCTGCCACTGACATGGAAGAGCACTTCCAGAGATGGTTTCAGCTGCAAGGTGAATGGTTCAGCCCAAGCAGACAGGTATTTGTTGTGATGGGATGAGGCTGTGGCAAAACCATCCCATTTACCCTTCTCTCCCTGCTCCAGTAGAAAACAGCCTCTGTCCCTCAGACACATCTGCCTCTGCTCAAAGATACTGTTTTCCTGGTGCAGCTGTTAGAACCGTATGCTAAGGCATGGCTATTGAATAAATCTGAAAAAGCTGCTCTACGGACTATTAAACACCTGTAACAGAATTCACAATGTCAGTAGATTTGCTTTTATACACGTTTCTTATTTTCCGTAAGTCCTTCTCCTTCTGGTAATAATTAGCAAGCACAGATCAATCCTGTGTATCACACCTAGATAAATTTTGGAAGTACTTTTAAAGATTCCTACAGAGCACATGCAGAATGTCCCTTGGCTGCCAGTCAGAAGTCACCTCCTTGGCAAACACAGTGTGTGCTTTCATGACTTTTACCCATGAACTGGACTGTTGCAGCAGAAATGTGAGCTGAGAGAGTCTGTGATGCTCAACATGACCTGGCAATGGGCACTTCCAGCTCAGAAAAGCAGCTGGGTCCTGGGCTGCATCAAGAGAGGTGGACGGGGACAGGGAATGGGACTGGAAAGATCCATACAGCCTTTTTCCTTCCTTCACCCTTCACCCTTCACCCAACTCAGCAGTGAAATGAGCTCGTGATGTTTCAGAAAGAGGATCCTAGATGACAAAGGACAGAATAAAGGGAAGTGTTCTTCACTTGCAGTCTGGTCCCAGGAGGGTGGGGGTCTCTTGGGGAAAGGAGGACAACCTGTACTTCTGGGAGAATGGGAGAAGTTGGGAAGATAGCAGTGTTTGTGATGACTTTCATCAACTGCAATGGTGAGTAAATGCTTCAATGTATAAGAAAAATCAGAGTACTAAGAGGGTAGGGAAAATCTTTTGAATTATAGCATTTTTTTTTTAATTGGTAAGTCAATTAGAAAGTCTTTAGCTTATTGCATTAACCACTGAGCTTGAGAATTCATGAGTCTCCTTTGGCTCTCAGATACAATGAGGTGCTTTCGAGAGCGTAGCAAGTATTGGGCAAGTCAGCTTCCCTGCCTCAAGGCAAGAGCCCAATACTGTTTTTTGGGATCTTTGGCAGGGACACACCGTGGTGTCCAGCTCCCAAAACAGTCTTGGTGGAGCTGGAATATGCATTCTAAATTTAGTATCTTATCCTTGTTCTGTATCATGGTCCTGAGAAGAAGAGCTGTGAGACCAGGAGATGGCACATTTCATTCCCTTTGGTCTCTGCTACCCACTGACTCTCTGACTGCATCAGGAAAGCTGGGACTGGAACCTTGGCTTCAGTTCCCATGTGCCTGACTGAATATACCCTTTCTCAGGGCATGTATGACACTGGCAGAAGCAGAGGATTGTTTTGGGAAATAGGAGAATAGTGCTCTTAAAAGTCATATACAAAAGCACAGGATTGCTCCTGACATTTAGAAAATTGGGTTGAAATATATTCCCCATTTTGTCATAAAAAATCCCAGCTTTGCAGATTACTGGGATCTGCCTCTCAAGCAACTTATTGTGAGTTAAAGCTGCTGAATATAACTGAATATAAACTGAGTTAAAGCTGCTGAATATAACTGAATATAACCAGTGTCTTTCTGGGGAGGGGAAAAGAGAGAAGAATAAAGGGTATGGGGAGAGATGAGCCAAGTCAAATGAAATTCAGGTGATTTGCAACTTACAAGAGGCACTTCCCAGGGGAGATGTGGGATCCATGGACAGGCAGCCGGAGAAATTGGGAGAATGTCTGGAGAAAATCTGCCCACTCTTCTCCTGTGCCCCTGAATGCTTGGCAGGGTGCTGATATGGGTCAGGTCTGAAGTTTTCCAAGGCTAAAGCAAAAGGATAGGTTTTGGTCCACCATTCCTACTCCAGGTCCAGTACTGTAGGGAATATCCCTAAACATCCCTGCCCACAAGGAACCTCTCTGTACCGAGAAAGAATTAAGAATGGGCAAGTGCCCAGAGAGGAACACAACAAAAATAGACATGGTCAAGGCAGCTGTTCATTTCCCCATGCTTGATGACTTGGGCTGGCTTAGTGCTGTGGTCTGCAGCACATCTGAGACCTGGTCGCATGCTGGCATCTACTGCCCGGTGAGTCCCGTCTGTCTGGAGGACATTTCCCTCCTCTGCTGCATTCTGATTTCTTCCCTTCCACTGCTGTTCCCTGCAGCCCTCCTGGATCTATCTGGTGTCCACCAGGTCACAGGCACATGGATGGGACCCACCACTGTACCGTGTACCTACGTGCCTTCAGAAGGTGTCACACAGCAAACGCTTAGCTGGAGCGTGGAGCGGGACTCCAGCATCTCTACCATCTTCCGGAGGGATGATTCTGGGGACCACATCTTGCTGTCTAAATTCCGAGGCCGAGTCAGCGTCCCAAAGCACAGCCCAGGGGATGCCTCACTCCTCATTGAGAACCTTGAAATGCCTGACAGTGGACACTACACCTGTCAAATCATCTGGAGGTCTACAGATAACAGCTTGATAACAAGAGAGGTGACCACTACAGTTAAAGTTGTCAAAGGTAAATCCAGCAGGTAATCCCTACTCTTGTGCAGCCAGGTTAAACCAAAAGAAGATAGGGGGACAAGTGTTGCTGTGAATACTCTGTCACACACACTGTCTGACCCATCTAGGCTGGGGATTGAAGCATCTGCCTCCCTTGCTGTGTTGGTTAACCTTCTCAACACGTGGAGGTGTAGGAATAAACTGGGGAAGGGAGCCAGTTTGTGTACAGCCCAGCCTGGATCTATTGATGGGCCAGTTGAACCCATGATGTTTGAGATAATACCCAGACATGGTTCTATGCAGGTAGTCAATATCTCTGTGGTTCTTGTAGCAAGCGGGTGTTGTGTGAGCCAAATCTGCCTTCTCCCCTTCCCAAGCACCCTCAATGTGTGCTAGCAAAAAGCCTTTCTGCAAGGAGGCCACCAAACCCAGAGAGCAGGACTTTGTGAAAGGGTGGCAGCAATGGTGGCACAGCTGCTGTAACCTGGATTAACACACCGGTGACCTTAACTCAACCTCTGCAGAGAGGTGATGTGAGAGCCGAGCTGTTTCCTCCTGGGAAGGCGGCGACAGCGAGAACTGCTGTGCCAGGGGCACCGTCCCCACCACAGCCAGGGCTCCGTGACCCGGGCCCCTCTGCTTTGTCTTCCAGTGGCAGCCACCAAGCCCATCATCAGAGCTGGACAGCTGGGGCTGACGCTCCCGGCCGGAGGCAGCACCAGCCTCACCTGCGAGGCCAGCGGCTCCCCTCCCATCAGCTACCGCTGGTTCCGGGCCACCCCGGCGGGCAAAGCCGTGTTCCTGAGCAGCGGGGCCGAGCTGGCCTGGCCCAGCCTGCGGCCCTCGGACAGCGGGACGTATTTCTGCGAGGCAGAGAACAGGGCCGGCGCCGGGGCCGTGCAGCGCAGCGATGCCGTGCAGCTGACGGTGACAGGTGAGTGCCCACAGCCACAGCTGGCGGGGAACACCCGGCTGCAGTGCGGAGGAACAGCATCCTACTTCCCTGCCCGGAAAGAAGGAAATGCCCAACGCACTCTGACACATCCCTCCCCGCTGGCTCCGCTCTGTGCCCTTCTTTATTGCCTCTATTCCGTTTCCTCCTCGTTGAGGAACTGCTCTTCGCTGATGCAAAAGACGATTTCGACTTCAAACATTTATTTATTCCTCTGTGGGTTTTTTCAAGCTCTCCCTGGTTCTGTAATGCTGCCCACTGCAGTTCAGCAAGTTCCGACAGGGAGTCGGGGCTTTATTTTGAGAACAAGGAACAAGTCAGTGGTAATTCAGTGGCAGAACAAACCAAGCTGGCCTTTGCTCCCCACCACAGCCGCGTGTCTCAGGGACACACACTGCACTTCACACACACCGGGCTCTGACTCCTCCAGCCTCTGCACGACGGTGCGGGACAGCTTGGACTCAGCGGCCTCAGGGGCCTTTCCAATCTCAGCCATTCCCTCTTGGCTGCCTGCTGGAAAACTTGCAGCTCTCCTTGCCTGGTTACTCCATCAGCAGAGCCGTGAAGCCCCTGCTGGCACAGCCAAGCACAGGTAGCACAGCGTGGCCTCTGAAAGAGGCAGAGCCTGCTGAGCTCCCTCCCAGGCACGAAGCTTTGGCTGAAGCCCTGTGCTGCTTTTCCCAGCAGTCACACATTGGAGGGAGCAGCACGGGAACGGGGCTCAGAGCTGCAGGTGCTGGCTGTCGCTGCTGCCACAGCATCCCCCTCCTGTCAGCTGGGAGGGGGCTGCTTCCTCCTGCTCCTATCCCACCTCTGGGGAATTCTGTATCACAGCAGCATCACCAACGTGGTCAAACCCCTGTGTAAGCCTCTCCCTCCCCCTCACCTTGCAGATCTGCCCACAACAACAGTGGCCTTGTGGAGGAACGTGGGAACCACGGGCGGACACCACCCAGCCGCAGGTCAGGGTGGGAGCAGTGACATGGAGCACACAATGACAGGTGAGTGCCTAGGCCCGGGTTATTCATCTCTGTGGCAGGAGAAGACCAAGGCAGGGAGTTTGCTCTTCCATAGATAGATCAGACACCTAAGCTGAATATTGATTGTGTCCTGATTGTTACCCAGAGAGGCAATATCAGAGGCTGGCACCCTTCACGCTTGAGAATGTGCCTGATGATGGGAGGGGACACGAAAATGTCGTCTGTGTCCCTCTGGAACCAGAACTGTTGAGGCTGCAGAGCTCCAGAAGGAAGTTGCCTGACACAAGAGACCTGGCACAGGCCTCCACACCTCAGGGAGTTTATGGTGCAGCTGATGCCAAAGCACCCCAGGCCAGGCAGGGAGTCACCATAGGAGAGAGGGAGTGCAGGTGTCCTCTGGAAATCTAGGAAAGTGCCAGCAGGACAAAGCCAAAGCATTCCCAGGCCATGCTGTAGTCAGACATGATGCATCCAGGGCTGCCAGGAACCTGAAGGGCGATGGTCAGGGGGACATGAGTGCCCAATGCTGCCCCAGGCTTGATGGCAAGACACACACAGGATAATCAGTGAGTCTAGGCTGGCAGAGCAGACCCCATCTTCTGGATGCCCAGGGCAGCTCCCAGTGGGGCTGCAATGCATCCACCATTCTCCACTGACAGATCCGGTGCCAACAACACGCATCTCCAGGATGGATACTGCTCCAGTCGGGCCTTTCACAGACACAGGTGTGTGGAGTGTCATGCTGAAAAACACCAGATTTGCACTGGCAAGGGCACGGTGGCAAACATCATCCCAGACCAGCTCCACATCTGACTGCTGTGCTTGTGGCAGATACGGCTGCAGGGAACAAATCCCCTGGCATGCCAAATACCAGGCGTTATCCAGGCAGGAGCTGCGCTCCTGACACCCGCCCACACGCTTGTTTTTGGGGGTGTTTGCAGCCTGAAGTTTGCTGTTTGTCTCCACGCAGAGACGCCCCATCCCTGTAAGTGTTCAAGGCCAGGTTGGACGGGGCTTGGAGCAAGCTGGTTGGTGGAAGGTGTCCCTGCTCATGGCAGGGCGTGGGACGAGATGGGCTTTAAGATCCCTTCCAAACTAAACCATCTCGGCATTCTGTGACTGTCGGGGAGTGGCAGAAGCCCCAGGTGGCCCCGGCGCCTTCTCGGGTGCCTGCTGTGCGGGGGCCGGCCCGTGTGTCAGCGCTGTCCCCCCGCAGGTTCCCCGCTGCTGTACGGGCCGGCGGCCGCGCTGGGCGGCGCCGCGCTGGGCGCGCTGCTGGCGGCGGCGCTGGGCTGCTGGCGGCGGCGGAGGAAGGACGGTGAGTAGCGACAAACCCAGCCGGGGACGGGCGTGGGGACAGCCCCGGGAGGAGGGGACAGCCCCGGGAAGAGGGGACGGGGCGGGCCGGCGGGCGGGACAGTCCCATCCCCGTCACTCTCATCCCCGTCACTCCCATCCCCTGTTGATCCCTTCCAGGGATAAGCCTGTGGGAGGGTTTTCCCCTAAACGTTGGAACACTTGGAAGCTGCGTTTTGTTCTGTGACACATAAAACAAGTCGATACATATCTTAGATTTTTTTTTTTTTTTTTTTTT